TAAAGGGAGGGACCCAGGCTCCAACCCTGAAGCTGCAGGACAAGTGGAGGGGAACAGAAAAGAAACCCAGGGTGTCCAAGACAGAAGGAAGGAGAGGTTACAAACAGCTAAGGTAGACAAAATTGTCTGTCAGATTGCCGTACTGTAGTGGCACGTTGTTGGGAGGCTTGAGGCTGTGCCACTGGTGTTTCAAATGCCAGTGGGGTTGCACATTGTGCAAAAGTTTTAGTGTGGCTTGTAGTCTGAGAAAGACTATGAAGGAGGAAGAGGCCATTGACTTCTCAAATAATTGGTCAGGGACAAACCTTATGACTAGCAGAGAAACACTGTTACAATACTAGGCAAATATATAAATAGCCTGGAAACACTGTCTAATACAGTGTAGGAAAATGATCCACTTATGTAGGAAGGCATTAAAAATATGACTGGAAAGAGTGCCATCATCAGAGTAGAACCAACCTTACTGATATGGATAAAGTAACCTTTTTGAGACCTGCATTTCCTGATATGACATGGCTCAAATTCAGGAGAAACAGCACAAACATCCAGTAAAAATCAGAACATAGAATGTATGAAGTATGAAGCTAGAAAATTTGGAAGTTGTCAAAAATGAAATGGAATGCATAAAAATTTATAACCTACCCATTTGTGAGCTGAAAAGGAATGGCTTTGGACATTTTGAATCAGACAACTGTATGATCTACTATACCAGGAATGACAATTGAAGAGGAATAGTGTGGCATTCATCATCAAAATGGATATCTCCAGAAGTGTCCTGAAGGACAATCGTGTCAGTGATAGGGTAATATTCATATGTCTTCAAGGAAGACCAGTTAATATGAGTATTATTCAAATTTATGCACAAACCACCAAAGCAAAAGATGAGGAAATTGAAGATCTACTTCAGCAGTCTGAAATTGTAATCCAGATGTGCTAATTATCAGTGGTGACTGGTATGAAGTTTAGGGGAAAAAAAAAAAAAAAGAGAATCACTGGTATTGGGAAATTTGGCCTTCGTGACAGATAATGCTGGAGATTGCATGATAAATTTTGCAAGACCATCTACTAATTCACTGCAAATACATTTTTTTTCAACAACACAAAAGGGGACTATACATGTGGACTTCACCAAATGGAATAAACAGGAATAAGATTGACTACATCTGTGGCAAGAGGCAATGGGAAAACTCAATAACTTTAGCAAAAACTGTGCCAGGAGCTAATTGTGGACAGACCATCAACTGCTCATATGCAAGTTCAACTTGAAATTGAAGACAATTAAAACAAGTCCACGAGAGCCAACATATAATCTTAAATTTATCCCTCTTGAATTTGGAGACCATCTAAAGAATTGATTTCATACATTGAACACCAATGCC